TTCATCATTCTGTGATGTAGAAAGACTGCTGACCTGCCGCAGTCGCTGCAGAGACCCGTGAGGAAGATGGAGAGGATGAGGAGGAGGATGAAGAAGCTAACCACTCCTGATGGCAGGAGCCACAGCTCGATGGCGTCTGGTCCGGTTGCCATGATCCCTGAGAGGAGAGAAAACGCAGATGAGTGAGGACGACCTGGAGACTTTATGACCTCCAAGAAACTCACTTTGCATTTTAGTGTTTTGTAAAGAACTTTAATTAGCATCAGATGTAAATTATCCTCAGTTTCTCTGATCATTAACAGGTCTAACAATCAGCAGAGGTCAAAGGTCAGAAACTTTATTCTGACCTATTCTGAAACATAAATTCCACCTGATCTGTTTTCATATCAAAGGAATGCTTTAAATGCGCTCTTCAAACATAACTGAGCAAATATGAGCTCAAATTTACTGATATCATTGTGTGCTAAAGCCCTGAGTCATGAACGCACAAAGCAACACACTCGTGGATCAAACGTGACCCTGTGTGTGCTTTAAGGCCGGTCCGTCGTCGGGTGTGTACTCGTTCTTTCAGCTCAGCGGCGATTGAATCATCCTGACCAACTCCTGTTACACAAACAGTGAAGCAGATGCCGGAGGTGGGTCGCGGTGCGAGAACGCCATGTTCAGATTAGAAAAAACTGCATTTAGCGCAGTTATTTCACTGTAATAAAGGAAACGAGGCGCAAACAGCCAAGCTAACACGTATCCACCTCACTGATTATCACGCCACATCTCTTCTGTTAAATGTTGCAGTGACAAAACATCAGTTAAATGTTTCAACAGCTGGGGCTGTTTTTTATTCTGCGCAGGGGAACTTCCTGTTGTCTCCAATGCCTGTCTCCAGAGCTGCGACTCAAGTACGCAGACACATCGTAGTCCATCGAACTTGAGACTGAACTTAAAGTGAAGTAAGGCCACAGAGCAGGCGAACCATGAAGAGATTAGAATAAATGAATGAAAACAGGAAACATCATCACCATGTGCGATGATGATCAGAGCTGCGGTGAAAGGTTTGGGCGGGGCTGCTCTTTTTAAGATTTCTTCTCTTTTCTCAGTTGTTTGGAGACGGAGTTCCACGTATGAAGGAGACGACTGCCTTTCTGTTTATTTTCTTTTTGTTTTTGCAAAGAAAGCGAGCCTATAGCGTCCACAAAAGCGAGCCGCAGTCCCAGCAGGTCACCTGATCTCAAGGTCAGCCCACATCACCTGATGGCTCAGGCAACACCCTTGTCCACATCCTGATGGGTGAGCAATTTAAGCTGCTTTATCCTGCCGGGCCACAGTTTCTGCACATTTGCAAGCCCCTTTGCCTTCCAGCGAAGCCTCCTCTGTTCTGTACGAGGAGGTGGTGCTGTCGCTCCACCCGCTCCATCTTTGTATGCACGAGCACGGTGAGGTCCCAGAAAAATGCCAAACAAGTCAAAAAAGAAAAAAAAGCCACGAAGAGGCGTAAAACAAGTAAAAGAGACATTAAGAGTCCATAAAGAGACCCTAAATAGTTCTGACAAAGTGCAAAACAGCAACATTGTATTGATAAAAGACAATGAAGTCACAACAGTTGGCCTCAAATTACCCCAAATTACAGCCCTTTGTTTCAGCCTGTAACTCATAGAACAGGGTGGGGTCTGCAGCTGGGGGCCCGCTGCCTCATCATCTGTCTCTGGTTTTCTGGTGTGAATACCAAACGATGCCAGTCTGTCTTTTAACCTGTTTCCTGGTCTTAAAAGTGCTACTATGAGAATATTTTTCACGTCAAACGTGAAAATCAAGAACACACTGATGCTGCTGCTATCACATAAGACAGCTCAGAAAAGTAACAGATAACAGAACCTCAGATGTGAAACTTGGTAAAATAGTTACTTTATGATATCTCTTGACACATTAATATTAGGATAATTAGTGTTTGCACATTAATTTCCTTTACAACTGACATTATGACTGTATGTCTGTGAATTAAAACACATCAACTTTCTCATCTACATTCATGTCAGTTGAATAACTGCAGGCAGCTCCAGAGTACGAGTGCAGCTCTGAGTGTTCCAACAGTTCAGTTTACTTTCTTAATGTATGAGCGCTAAAGTTTAAGAAGCAGTGTGGACGTACCTGTGTGCAGACAGCTGTGTGTTCAGGTTCAGTGGTGCTATGAGGGTTTGTTCCTGCTGCACGTTTACTCATTGACAGACTGAACAAACACTCTGCTGTGAGAGCTGCTTAAAGACACACTGCACAAACACTGCACAGGACTCCGGATTCCCCCACAGGAACTGAGACCTGCTTAGCTTAGCTAAGCACAAAGACTGCATGTGCACATATTCAAAATGTTGCAGTCTTTGCTTAAATCTAAAAATGTGTGATTATTAATGCTAACAAAAATCGGTAATTATTCAGAAATGTGCAGAAAGACTGCAGTTCCTCTAATATCCAACAGAGGCTTCAGCATGATCATAGTTTAATGGGCACTAAACCTACTGTGTGTATATTAATTTTAGGCAGAGTGCTGACAGTCATGGGGATTTATGTCAAAAACATTAGTCCACATTAATAATGAGGCTCTGACACATTTTAGACCCATCAGAGATCACTGTGAGTAACTAAAACTGGAACGTGGCATCACAGACTGTCTTGTTAAAGATTTGCTGTAAAGCAAATCAACCTGTTTGAAACCTCTATTTTCACAGAGCTACAGGCTAGCAGCTCACTTGCTGCCTCTTTTTCTGCTTTAATGTTTTCATATCTCTGCTTTTTTATTTTTAACACCCTCTGTGTATTTGCTGTTTCACTGCTGATTTACTGATGAACTTTGACCTGCTCTACGGTACAAGTGTATGTGAACAGGATGTTCCTCACCTGTCCATGTGGTTCCTCACACATCTGTTATAATCACTGTGTTGAACATTTACTCTGTGCTGTCAACAATACAGCCACAAATGCTTTCAGAAGTGGCTTTGTTTCATAATTTTAGTGTTCAAACCGAGAATGATATTCTCTCCTGATAGCTGAACGGGGGGTGTGTTTTACATTTTATGGCGTCTTTCTAACCACAGGCAGCTGCGACTGATAAGCTCCATAAAGCCGAGATCAAACTGAAACTGGAGCACCAAGAGCAGCTCCACCCGAACTGTGCAACTGACACTTTCTGCTTGACTGGCAGAGTGAGGCCCTTTGAGGACTGTGAGAGGCAGATAACAGCAGCCTTGCTGTTAAAGGACACATAAAGTGAATTCACATTATTTTTTCTCTATCGCAGTCTGCATTCAGCTTCCTGTCTGGATGTTGTCATACGTGCATTGTGGTGTTAAAGTCCATAGACACCCTGTAGTTACTGTAAAATGTCAGCTAAAATTTCATTTTGATAGATAAAGGGAGAATCAGCTTTAGTAAAATATGGGGTGTTGGTAGGTTGGTTTTTAATAACAGATATATTAAAAACCAACCTACAAGTTGGTTGTAGGTTGTTCAATGATTGTTCATACAAATCGACAGGCTGTAAATTTTAGAGGTACTACAGAAACCGTCTGTTAGATTTGTATTGTTTATTGTCATTTATGCTTAGAAATTTTTAACTATATATGCTTAGAGGTGCATAATCGATTGTGTAGTGATAGGATGTGTGATCCTTAATAGTCTGCAAAGGCTTGGTGTGCATTCCAGAGTGTTCTGGCATTCACACCCACATCCTGGGAGCATGGGAGAGGTCGTACCTTCTCTTATTGTTTTATGGAAGGATAAACATGTCTATATCTGTTTTAGGCTAAGTGCCTTTTGTTTAGACGAACTGTTGGACTTCCAAACCAGCAGGGTTAGGGAAGTCTTTATGGGGTCACACTCTGACCACACACACACTTACACAACGCACAGGCAAGGTACTCTTTGTGTGTATGTAGACGTCATATGTTAATGAACCTATGTATATTCATGTAACCTCAATAAAAGAGCAGTGTTACGGGGGAGCGGATGAGAGCACCTGGGGTCAAGCGAAGGAACGGCGTTTGTCCAGTTCTCTCCCGTGCATGAGAACCATAAAGAACTTTGCCTACTCGTGTCTTGCTTTGCTGTGTAATTAAATTGTCCTTAACGTTCCAGCAAATAGGTTTATGCTACAAACCTATCACCGTCCTTTACGCCGACACAAACTGCACGGGTATGCAGGAAAAAAAAATCTGCCTGCTAAACTGAAAGTTCTCCAGACCATCAACCACTAAAAACATGTGGCTCAAGTCCTAAAACAAGCAAGAATGAGAATCCTTTGGCAAAAACTACAACAAAACTACAGAAATGTAAACCCTTGGTTCCCAAATGCTTACAGACTGTTGTTAAAGGAAGAACAGTCAACGGTTATCTTAGTATTTTATTATCTTATTATTTTAATCTGTTGTATATAGTATCTTATTCTTATTCTATTCCAGTGTTTCTAATTTTTGCTATATAACTTTGCACTGTCCACTTTGGAGGGCGATCGTGGCTCAAGATTTGGGAGTTCGTCTTGTAATCGGAAGGTTGCCGGTTCGAGCCCCGGCTCAGCCTCGGTCGTTGTGTCCTCGGGCAACACACTTCCCTACCGCCTACTGGTGATGGCCAGAGGGGCCGATGGCGCGATATGGCAGCCTCGCCTCTGTCAGTCTGCCCCAGGGCAGCTGTGGCTACAACTATAGCTTCCACTAGTGTGTGAGAGTGAATGAATAGTGGAATTGTAAAGCGCTTTGAGGGGTCCCGAAAAGCGCTACATAAATGCAATCCATTATTATTATTATTTTCTGCTGTAACAAAACAAATTTCCCACGTGTGGGACTAATAAAGGTTATCTTATCTTATTAAATACAGGTTTTAGATTTATTTTCAATCAAGGCCCCAACCTGGAGCTCAGTGAGGCAACAGTGTTCAGCTAACAGATAAACGTACAAACTATAGACAATATTACTTTATTGAATATGCAAACAGAAATTAAAAACTGGTCCCATAATGTTAAATGGTCACTTGATTTTAGTCGTTGTTTAGTAAAATGTAAAAAAGAGAAACCAGAAGAACCAGAAGTTCGGTGTAGGAATATGATGGTCTGCATCACTATCATCTGATGCTAACAAACAACCCAAACCAACAAAAGTAAAGAAATGCTTCCACTGCAGAGTCAGTCCCTCAGAAGAAGAAGAGACTTCCTGTACACAAACTTTTTCCTCTTCTATCGTTGCTCTTTCATCAGCTGTGCCTGAGCCTGCCTCCTCATGGCGAGGGCTGTCAAGGCGCAACACAACGTCAGGCAGGGAAAGGAGGCGCAAGCCAGCAGGAGGCGCTCCTCTCCAAACTCTCTGACCATCGCCGGCCGCCGCCATAGGAAGTCGTGGAACAGCGCTTCCTGCTGGGCCAGTGTGCAGAGTGACAGCAAGATGTGGAAGAGCTGGTGTCCGTGGCCGACGATGTCAAAGCGGCCGGGGTAGAAGCGCTCAGGAACGGGGCAAGAGAAGAAGAAGGCGGACAGCATAAACAGCACCACCTGGTGGAAAAATGACAGAAAGCTTTTTGACAGTAGCACAAAAATATACAAATAAGAACAATTTGTGCAATATTTTTACCCAAAATTACTAACTAGTAATAAATATAACTGTTAGGTCTAATAAATCCATGACTAAAGAAATAAGTAAAAGGAACTACCTGCAAGAAGTGCAATGGTAGTGCAGGGCTGCCTGTCCAGCTGTGGGTGGCAAGACGGTGGGCAACAGGGCTGATGTCCACTAGGTAGGCCACACCCATTGGGATCAGCTGGCAGAGCTTCCTGTGAAGGGGGTATGGACGGCGGAAACGAAGTTTTGCATAGCAGCAGGCGGTGCACGAGAGCCACGCAAGGAGGGCAGCTGCTGGGAGGAAGACCTGAAATCCAAAAACCTGATCAGGACATCTGAACATACCGATGGGACGGAAGACTCAAACACAAACCTTTCTAACCATGTTTTCCCTTCCATCTGAACATCCAGGCATCATTGCAATAAGAAATCCAACTGTCCACAAAGTAATCATCAAACCATTAAATAAGCCAACTACAAAACATCCAAATTGTCCATCCATGAACAAACCTGTCCAGCCTGCACTGGGTTCATCAGTCCAACATTCACACTATTCAGTCATCTAATCACCCCACTTTCCAATATCCAACAGTCACAGTATTCAGCTGTCCAACATCCAATCATTAAACTGTCCAACCACCCAGATCTCCAACCATACAGCTATACCCGTCCAACAATCCAATATCCAATTATCAAATTGTTTACCAATATCATTTACAAACCATCCAGTCATCCAACACCCAGTCACTAAACTGTCCACTCATCACACTATTTAACAGTCCATGAGTCAAACTATTCAACCTCCTAGCTCCAGTTGGGAGGTATATCCAGTTGCATCACTGGATATACAGCCATAACAATATCCAGTGATTCAATAATGCAACATCCAACAATCAAATGAACCAAATTCCCAACCATTAAACCGTCCAGGACTCCATTTATTAAACTATCCAACCATCCAGTCATCCAACATCGAATCACTAAACTGTGCAACTTTCACACTATTAAAATTCTAACTACCCAACTATCCAACCATCAAGTTCTCCAACCATACAAACATACCAGTATTCAACATCCAACTACCTAGTATCAACTCGTCTAACTGTTTGACCATCACAACATCTTGCAGTCCATGTATCCAACTAGCCAGTCAGCCTGCTCCCCAAAAATACAACCATATCAATATCCAAACATCCAGCTTTCAGACCATTAAGGTATTACACTGTCCTACAATCCATCTATCCAAAATACAACAATCCAACTGTCCAACAATCACAGTATCCAAACATCCAATGGTTATACTATCAAACCATCCAACTATCCATATACAATACAGTCATCTAACTGTCAGGGGGTGAAAGGCTGATATGTGGAAGTGGACATGAAAGCAGACTCAAGGGACAATAGACTAGCAGTTACTAGCAGACGGGCACAGTGGACTGGAGCAAACTGAGGGCACCGCAAGATCAGGCTCCATCTGTAGAAAAAGAGGGGGTTGGTACCCTAGAGAGGCTTCAAAAGGCAAGAGACCTATAGCAGAAGAGAGAAGTGAGTTATAAGTATATTCAGTCCATGAAAGTTTCCAGTTGGCTCCGAAAGTTGTGCAAAAATCTTCCAATTGTCTTGTTAACGGTTGAAGAAAGTGACAAGTAAAGAAAGCTGCAGCGGAGTTTAGTTCCAGGAACGGCAAAAACAAACTGGACACACAAGGAAACAGCAGTTAGAATTCAACGAGGCAAATAACAAGAGATGGAAGAGCCAAGTTACAGCTGTAGCTGACGGACTGGCAATGAGACAAAGGGTGAGCTGGTCTTAAATGCCAGCCTGCTGATTGCCACTGATGGATCACTGCTGGATGATGCATGTGGAAATGAGCCTCTGCCCTCATGGGCAGATACTGGAGAACCAGAGCCAGCATGGAGAAACACATCAAAACAGCAGACACTCACGCAACCACCCAACCATCACAGAATCCAGCCATCTATCATTCAGTGAAAATACCCAAACATAACACTGTCAGACTATCCAACATGTAACATCCAACTGTCCAACCTCCTGCCTCCATCCAGTCAGTCAGTCAAGACTAAATTTCCACTACCTTACCAGAAAACTACCAGGCCGTCCAAAAAATCAACCAACATTGCAGACGTCCAACAATCAGCCATCAAATATTACCATAGTTCAATATCTGTAAACAAACCTGTCCCAGCATGCTTTGTCTCCAGGCAGTGTTGGAGCTGTACAGGCAGAGAGCCAGAGCGCAGCCATACTGATAGACGGCCACGCCCACATAGTCCAGGAAGAATAGTGAGTAATGCGCCTGCTCTGAGTGGGACTGCAGCAGGTGAGCGGCAGCACTGCAGGAGGTAACACGATGTTAGTTAAAGCTGCAATATTTAAAATGTTTACATTAAACTTCAAACATCATTCCCAAATCAAATATATAGGAAGACTTTGTTATCGTTGGTGACTAAAGAATGAATCACTCACCTGCAGCTGAGGTATGTGACTGCAGAAAGAACATAGAGGACCAGAGGTAGAGAGGAGGCATCCACAGAAAAACCTTCACCTTCAGGACCCTGCAGTCGGAAACCCAGGATTCCCTTAATAGGTCAAAGGTCAGACAACAGGAAGTCAAACAGAATGTCATCATGCAGCAGAAGATCAGAGCATCTGTAAATATCCTACCCCTCCTCGCATGATGGCGAACACCATGAACCTGAGCACCACGAAGGCGGCAGCCAGCAGGTGGCTCCACACATTCAGCGTCTCATTGTGGATCTGGAACAGGCTGAGGGCGTAACACCGCCACGACATGCCCGTGGGACGGTACCCCGTCAGGATGAAGCGCTCCCGAAACAGAGGGGGAACATCCACGTCTCGGACGGTAGGGGGGTTGGATGGGAGGAGGCGGTGCAGTAGAGGGAGGAAGTTAAGACAGAGCGAGGGATGGGCAAACGACACCTGAGGCATGATGGGAGATGACCCAGCTGGATGAGGAGGAAATGATAAGAAGATTCTGTTCTGTTTGATTTGATTACCCCTACAAAATGAAAATCACACTTCAGTAAATTAAATTATAAATTTATTTGGAAGCCAAAAAGCTGAGAGTATTAGCTGTAAAGCTTATATCCTTGTTATGCTTTTATCTGTTGGGAATTCCAGATTATAAAATGTAAAATAAAAGTTTAATGCTGGGAAATGACTGTAATTCAGCAGAGATATTTGTTATTAAAATGTCAAATATTTTTACTTTATCAAACAAATTTCTACCATGAATATACCAGTAAAATGCTCTGAAGTAATTTATTTTAAAACTCTAATTTTCTAAATAAATACATTTCTAAAGGTGATGTTAACATGAAATTCACACCAGATGTAGGTAACAACCCATCCAATGCACACATACAAATAAATCAAACCACAGATGTCCATAAACTAATTTATGTGTAATAATGCAAAATGGCCTGTATTTGTAAAGCGCTTTACTAGTCCCTAAGGACCCCAAAGCGCTTTACATATCCAGTCGTCCACCCATTGGTGATGGCAGCTACATTGTAGCCACAGCCACCCTGGGGCGCACTGACAGAGGCGAGGCTGCCGGACACTGGCGCCACCAGTAGGCAACGGGTGAAGTGCCCAAGGACACAACGACCGAGACTGTCCAAGCCAGGGCTTGAACCGGCAACCTTCCGATTACAAGGCGAACTCCCAACTCTTGAGCCACGATCGCCCAGGGAAAAAGTATTGAACACATGAAGAAAAGGAGGTTCAAAAAGGCATGGAAATGGCATCAGCTTCAGAAAATCAGTAATTACTGCAAATTAATATCAGCTGGTTCAGTCCCAACTGATGGCCTATAAAAATGGTGTCTCATCACCTAGGTGTCACACAAGTAAACGGCTCGTGATGGATAAAACCAGTGAGCTCTCTCAACACTTTCACAACCGTATTTTTGTAAAACATACTGATGGCATTGGATACTTGGCACTTGTGGAGAGCTACAGAAGAGCTAGCCCAACTTCAGTAACCCTACAAACGTCACTGCTGTTTAGTTTTCTGTTTTCATTTATGTTGGAAGTGATAGCAGAGCTGTACGTTTGAATTGTTTCAGAAATCTCTCAGTCAGAACATGCTATATCAAGTTTAGGTGGAAGCTAGCGAGCTAACTTCCTGCTAACTCCTAACTAACTCCGTTACATTTAATAAATCCTGTTTTTATGGATGCCTGGATGTTAAACTTAATTGTTACACCTGGTAAAGCAGCAACACTGATCATTTTATTAAAGAAGAAAGAATTTAGACCGTATTTAACTCTCAGTGTTCGTTTGACTTTGGTACCTGAAGTGGACGGAGTTTTGGACCCCGATTACTCCGCGAGGCTCCTGACTACAGTACCGTAATGCTCCAACAATCCATCAAGCTTAGCAGCTTCGTAGCTTACCAAAGTCGCACTAAATCATTTTTTGACAGATTTTTGAGCGCCGTGTAGCACATAAAATCAGTTTGAGGTCAATAAGCACAACCAGTTCATACATAAGGTGCACCGGATTATAAGGTGCACTGTTGATTTTTGAGAAAATTGAAGGATTTTAAGTGCGCCTTATAGTGCAGTAAATACGGTACTTCATATAAATGAAGGAAGGATGAATGGAAAGATGTACAGAGACATTCAGGATAAAAATCTGCTGCCATCTGCCAGGATGATGAAGATGAAACGAGGGTGGACGTTTCAGCAGGACGATGATCCCACAGCCAAGGATTCTCTCAGCTGCTTTCAGAGAAAGAAAATAAACCTGTTAGAATGAACCAGCCAATCAGCTGACCTGAATCCAAATGAAAACCTATGGAGAGATCTAAAGTTCATAACGGGGTCGACAGAACCTTCAGGATTTGAAGACTGTTTGTGTGGAACAATGGACCAAAATCACACCTGAGCAATGCGTGAGACTAGTTTCTCTGTGCAGGAGTTGTTTTGAAGCTGTCATCACCAATACAGGCTTTTGCACGAAGTATTAAATACATTTCAGTAAACGTGTTCAATACTTTTTCCCTATGTTTTTCTAATTAATACACCATTAGAAAGTTTGAATTCTTTGCATCTGTGTACTGCATTGTTTCACATCAATAGCAGCTTAAAAATGTATTTACTTTGAGAATTGGTATTGGTATTGGTATTCAGTACTTATTTTACCCCGCTGTGCATGAGAGGGAAATAAATGTACAGATAGGTGGCAAATAGATTGAGTTAAAAGCAGTCCAACAGCTTTGATTGGAGCTTGTTCAGCTTCAACAAACTTTGGCTTAAAGATGCTTCAAATGCCTTTTTTCTTTGGAAACACTTAAGCTTCAATCATCTCTGTACAAAGGTCAGAGGTCACAGAATCTGAAGGACAAGAAGGAAATCAAACCTACCTGAGCGTCTCCTGGATGTGAGCTGCTACGCTCCACAACTTATTTTCTACTCACCTCTATTGTTTTCTGTTCGGGTCTTTGGGCCTGGTGTCAGTGTTCAAATCACACACACACACACACACACACACACACACACACACACACACACACACACACACACACACACACACTCCACAATGTGTTCTTGTTTTCAGCTAATTAAAGCTGATTTCAGTCTGAACAAGTTTTTCTCTGCAGAGGATTTCAGACATCATGAGACTCAGCAGTAATGCACACTTCGCTGCAGCGTGCATGCCAATACACCACCAAATCCTCTACACAGTAACGTCACATTTATTCTCTAAATACGTCAGATTAATAAAAGGAAAGATTAGGAACTTTTCTAATTCGTCCAGTGCACATGATGGTAAATTTGGAGACTAATTCAACAAAAAAAAAAAAAAGAGACAAAGCAAAGCAAAACTGTAAACTTCAAGTTTTGTTTTTCTCTTGTTATTTTAGTTACCGGTATATTTCCAAATTCTAAATGAAAACTATTCTATTCTATTTTATTCTCTTCTAAAATAATAAAAATGTAAGATGATAAAATATTTAAGAATGTTGGCCAAAACAAAACTGTAAAAGGTAACAAGCTTTGTAGAAGAATTATGTTTTAAAAAGAGGAGAAAAGCAGTTCTGCTACGCCCACTGGTGGATGGTGAGAGAACTGCAAGTCCACAACTACATGTTTAATTTGTTTTGTGTTTGATTTGTTTGGTTATATTCACACGCCATCATTCAGAGATCAAGACTGTTCCTGTAATGTTACTGTCAAATGAAGTCATGTCTTTCACTGTACAAAATACATTAAAATGTTATTTTGTGCTTGAACAAAAACGAGTAATCATCCAAACCCAGACTTGAAAACAGCATTTCACACAATCAAACACCGAGTTTTATCTGAACTGAAGCTGTTCTGTGGATTTCTCTATCACAGAGAACGCAATGTGCATATATTCACTCTGCAGGGATTCCACAAGGCTCTTTGCTCGGACTACTTTTCTTTGCACTTCATATTAACATGTATCTAAATATTAATATTCCAATGTACGCAGATGATGCAGTAGTCTTCACACAATGACACGCTCAAAATCACACATTCTTATGTCTTACAGAGGCACTGACTCAGGTTCAAGAGTGACTTCAAAATCATTAATTTGACTAATTATTGAACGGTGTGTTGTAACGCACGATCTGATATCGTCGTGTTGGTGTTGTTCCCAGATCATCAAACTAAATGTTGTTCCAGGATCAACATTGCAAGTGACCAATCAGAATGTTGTGACGTCATACTTTTGTGACTTCGGGAAAAAAACGCCGTAAAACAAAAAACTGTACTTAAGCTGCGAGAAACCGCCTCTGTCCGCCGATCAACGGACCCTGACCCTGACCCTAACCCCAACCCTAACCCTAACCCTAACCCTTTAATAAACGGTAAGCAGAACTGATATTGTCCTTGCAACATTGGAATTTCATAAATGCACGTATGGCTTGGCGCACAAAAGAATAACGTCACAACAATGTGATTGGTCACATGCAATGTTGAACCTGGAACAACATTTTCATGATGATCTGGGAACAACACCAACACGACGATATCAGATCATCCGTGTTGTAACAGTCACAATGGTGTGGTGTCTCTTTAAGACAACCCAAGTCGAGGGTTAATGTTGTCATCCGTATGCGCCACTACTCTGTTTGTTAAGCTGCAGCCGTTCAACCGGGCTTATATGGTTGACGAAGGGAACGTGTATTAAAGAACATGCTGTGGAATTCCCAAAGCCAGCGTGAGTGTGTATTCTTTCGACTATCCTGCTAAGTGTTTTGCCCCTTCCTCTCAACCACTAAACACAACCCGACGTTACAGTGTGATGTTTATGAAACAACTAATGACGCTGTAAACAAGTTCAGTTAACTTTGACTCACTTTGGGCTCGGGTATAACAGTATGACTGAAAATTTCAACAACAATTTAAAATTTAATTTACACAAATCCAAGCACATCAGGCCATTTCCGGGAAAAAAATCGATAAAGGCAATCTCTTAAGCTTCGATCATTTAAAAAACATGGCAGTTTTATGTATAAAGTTTTATATAGACTTTCCCCAATACTTTCAGTTGATTTATTAGGGGGATTGGTGTTAGAGCTGCTGCTAGAGTAGACAGCGAGGGGCCTGATAGGCGAACCAAATGTGAGTAAAATGTGAGGTCAGTAAAGGGGAGTAACTATTTTGGCACTTCTCAGATCGACGCTGCACATACAATGAAAGCTGATCTCAAGCAAACCAGACTTGTCATCATTTTTTACTCCACGTAGTTTTTATTTGTTTGTGTGTTTTTTATGTTACCTGCACAGAGATTATAGATAAAAATGAAGAGCTGATTCAAATCTGGCACATCTGATGTTAACACGCACTGTGCAGTTTTTAAATAAATACAACAGCAAGAATGAAATGACCAGGTTTCAATTAACTTATTTTTTAGCTCCTTTTATTTCGAAACATTTCTGTTTCCTGGGCTTCACTTCTGATCGGTCTCGGCTCGAACACAGGTGCAGCCGACCGCCACAGAGCGGAACGATGCTTTGTAGCAGCGCCGGCCATTGTGTGAGGTCAGGACCAGAATGTCCTGGTAGACGGGGACTGAGTTCAGGTTGTGTTGGTCCTTCTGTCCTGGGATGGGACTGGAACAAAAGCTGGTACTGCACTCGGCCTCCCAGAGCGTCCTGGGGATTCGGTTTCTGTCCGTGTTTGGCCTGAGTCAACAAACACAGCAACAAGTGAAATTAGACATTTATCAGAGTTGCTTCTGTTTTTACTCATTCAGTCATTTATTCACAAATTCATTCATGAGTTTACTCACGTCCAGTTCCACGGAGACAGAGATCTGCTGTGGATGTCCCCGTTTCCTTCAGTCAAGCTGGTGATCTCAGAGGAGAACGTCAGCATGGTGTCACATTCAGCTGCAGATTCAGTTTCAACCTCGGAGTGAGCGACCCACAATGCACTGCAACATACCTGAATATACAAGATTACCAACAAGTTACAATCTTGGGTTTTACTAAATGCAACTATTTCAACCATTTTTACATTTTTTCTGCATACATATATGTATTCCAGAGCTTTCTGAGCATCCTCAGCCTGTTTGAAACATCGTTCAGTGGTTTCAACTTTTAATCTAGTATGAAGAGTACGAACCTCTTAGAAACTCTTAGTGAAGCTCATCTGTGCAAGTTTCTCAGTAAGTTTTTAGTCTGTACTAGAAGCTTAAAATACTAAAACTAGAATTATTTGTTTCACAGTTTTAAACTCTGCCTTTTAAAGACTGTTAGAGCGTTTATTCCTCAAAGTCCATACGTGTGAAAAAGACAGTCCTCTCTCACTGCTTCCACGTGAAGCGGAGGGTAAGTATCAGCCAATCAAATGCCCTTCATTAACCGATTAATGACCCGAGGGACCACTTCTATATACAGGTGTATATGTTAACACACTCAATGCCACAATCTCCCCAGGAGCAGACATACCAGCAAATTCACCCTGAGCTCAAACCCAAGAGCTCCATGAAGATGCATGGCTGAAAAAGAAAAGAATCAAGCTGCTGCAGTGGTGCAGAGTCCAGAGAGCTGTGCATGAACGAATGGTGCAAACCTCGATGAACTGAAGCAACGCTGTTACCGAGAGTGGACCAAAACTGCTCGGCAGTGATGAGACAGACCGATAGACTCACACAGAGAACAAAGTTCAAATCCAGAGTGAAAATGTGAGAACAACAATTATAGATGTACTATCAACACAAACAAGCTCTTTTTAATTAAGTCTATCCGGATTTAATCCATGGTGTTGCCCAGAGGAGCGTCACCCTGAAGCTGGATGGAAATGCTGGGTTGGACTGTTTTAAAGGAGATTCTGTGGACTCTTCAGAAAAAGCTGGAAATCAAATGCCAAACCTGACATGCTTCGAGCCTCCATCAGCATCTGTTAACCTGAGCGCGCTGCTGAGAGTCTATAACCGTTCCTTAAAGGTTATTTTATTATACTTTTTAGTGAGATGATGACAATTTAAGCAACGACAAACTTCATCACTCTAAACGCTGTTTTAACAGGGTTTAAATTTCAAATCTACAGGGTCGAATAAGAACCATGATAAGCACAAAAAAAGACATGATAGTCCATTAAACAGCAGCAGCCGACACAAAACTCAGTTTTAAATATAAATAAACACAGAGTGTCTGCAGGAGGACGATTTCACGGAGAGTTTTAGGACGGGATGAACTATTACGCGTCATGACTGTGTAACTATTAGGTAAAAATACCAAAAACTGTTATAGTTGATTAAATATTATGTTAGCCACACAGATTATAATTATTATAAACCCGGTGAGCCGTACAGGAGATTATCTGGAAACGTGAAGTAAAACATTACTTTATTAAAAGTGTTTTCTGACCAGTTTAAATTTACTCACCTGCCTAAAGACCCGCGCTGGGTCCAGTTCTGGAAAGCTTGACACCTGCGCTGCACACCTGACTCTTCTAGGCCAGCTAACGACATCTCTAAAAGACTGCTTGGAACTAGTTTCTGTTTGCGACACTTTTCATGTCCATCCATTAAATGAACCCAGTAAAACCTTTCAGCCGCTGCTGGTTCTTCCAGTCTGATCAATTTCACAGTCAAACTGCTAAATTTGCTTTGCGCTGGAACTTCTCACCAGTCATCCCCAATCTAACCTTTGCGACTATCAGCCGTGAGTAATTTCTTGCATGTAATTTCCAGCAGACTAATATAATCTGGCTTTTCATCTTTCAGTCGCAGTAAACAGATGATCAGAGTGAACAAAGCCGATGCTCACCAGCAGAGTGTAGACGCCGTGCCTCAGCAGCTTCATGATGTTGCTCTGGTCCTGTCCAGCGTCTGTGTGCGACTGCTCTCAGATCAGCACAATTTATGCTGATCAGATGTGATCACGCCTGATCTCTGAGATGATAACAGCTCAAGAAACAAAACGGGAGATTCCTGTTATCTCTGCAGACCATCTGAATCACACGATGAAAGCCTGACAGGCGGTCTGTCAGATGAAAAGAACACGTTTGCTGCACTGATAACATCTGTGACAGAAAAACAGGAAAAACGTGTAAAACAGCAGAAGCTGAATTTTATTTTCAGTGTGGCAGGTTTGGTCGCATTAATTTAAAGAACAGAATTTGTTTTAATGACAACAGATTCTACTTTTTTTTATTTTCTGTAATATAGTGTCCACGGTTTGCATTAAATGTGTTAATAAGTGTACGCTCAGCTTCTCTCTGATGATCTGAGATCATCACTGATTTCTTTATTTGGTCATTTCCTTCAGGCACAGCAAACTCTGGTCTTCCTGCTAAGAATGTAGGTGTTCTCCATGCTGTCTACCTGAGCAGAAACTACATATGTTCAATTTTAAGAAGCATTCGCGATCAGAGACGTCCTGAAGTAATTTGTTTGGACAACAGCTCCATCCATTTTCCTCACCTACGATCATGGTGGTGGGGAAAGTTCTCCCAGCTGACAGAGAGCAAAAGATCTCAAACACCTGGAGACAGACGCACCTACAGCCAGTTTACGATCGTTAGTGAGCATGTCTTTAGAGCGCGAGGTGAAACCTGCAGAGCTGCAAGCAGAAGGTTCAGAGCTTCCAACCCTGACCAACACGCCGCTCTGCTCCAGCACACTTATCTTTATCCTGATCGATCGAAATTGATCAAAAAAAATTATCTGATTGTGTTCATGCACTGCTTTTGCAACTGATGTATCTCAACAGGAAGCAGGTTTCATATCTGCAACATTTATCTAACCTAAATCTAACCAAGTTTATTCTATTTGATAAGGTCCCTCCAGCTTCCAGAAGTGTTTCTGGTCCTTGTTAAATAATGAAATCATCACATGTGAGAACGGAGAGATGACAAATGGTGTTCAGGAAGGTTAGAAAACTGGGAAAGTTGTGTCCGTGGACATAAAACTTGTGCGAGGCTGCGATGTGCTTTCTGAACTTCTGATTTGTAATAAAAAATAAGAAGCAATGTCGTTCAGAAGCTGCTTTTCCACATTCGCGCTGCTTCTCATCGTGCTTCCAGAGGTTGGCCGACAAAGAAAGTTTGGAAGAAGGTTTGCTTTACAGATACGTAGAAGACTTGGTTGGCTTTGTGTCGAGGTCTGCAGTCCTGTGGTGTCATTCAGGAGTCCTTTGTTCTTTATCTCCTGCTGACTCTTTCCTCTGAAATAAAAGGCATAAAATCCCCCCAAAAGTGTCTTCAAAGTGCACGCTGCCCTGAATTTTACGATGTTGTTTCGTTAGTAGTTTCTTATCTGTTCGATCCATCATCTACCGTGAGAATTCAGCTCCCCGCGTGGGATCATTCCAGTTTATCTCGTCTTTATCTGCATCTTTTACTGTCAGCACATCAGCAAAACATCTGATCTAAATATCTGTTTCCTCTTTGATAATCACCGTATCTGTTTATTCTGTAAAGCTAAAGTTGGGTGTTTAATCATCGCGGTGGGAAAAAAGGCTCTGATTATTTCAGTATATAAGATAAGATACAGTAAGGTCCATAAGCATTTGGACAGAGACTTTTTTCTAATTTTGGTTCCGTACAGTACCCCAGCGGAACAACTCAGATGTAGCTGAAATGCAGACTCTTAGCTTTAATTTGGTGGGTTGAAATAAAAAATGTGAGGGAGCTAAAGTAAATCACTTCGTTTCAGGGCCCAAAAGCAATTGGACAAATTAAATAACTGAAAATGAAACGTTCATTTCTAATACTTGGTTGCAAACTCTTTGCTGGTAATGACAACCTGAAGTCTTAAACTCGTGGACATCGCCACATGCTGGTTTCCTCCTTTTTAACGCTCTGCCAGGCCTTTACTGCAACCGTCTGTTTGTGGGCCTTTCTGTCTGAAGCTCAGTCTTCAACAAGTGAAATGCGTGTTCAGATCAAGATCAGGTAACTGACTTGGCCATTTGTGAATATTCAACTTCTTTGCTTTAATAAACTCCTGGGTTGCTTTGGCTGTATGTTCTGCGTCATTGTTCATCAGTTTTATGAAACTGCCCAATTTGACTGTATTTGACAGTTTGTCTCTGAACACCTCAGACTTCATTCTGTCCTGTGTCACAATATCATAAACACTAGTGTCCCAGTGTCACTGGCAGCTTTGCACGCCCAAGCCATCACACTGCCTGTGCCGTGTTTTACAGATGATGTGATGTGCTTTGGGTCATGAGCTGCCTTCTGTAGCATGGAAATGATTCTGCGATCATCCACCACTGTTGTCTTCTGTGGTCATCCAGGTCTTTTTAGGTCACCAGTACTTTCTTTCTTTCTCAGGATGTACCAAACTGTAGGTTTTGCCACTCCTAATATTGTGGCCATTTCTCAGATGTTTTTGTCTGTTTTTGCAGGTTGGCTTGTTTCACCTGCATGGAGAGCTCCTCTGACCACATGTCATCTGTTCATACAAAATCTCCCAGATGCAACCACACCTCAAATCAACTCCAGGCCTTTGATAATGACATAACAAAGGAATTGCCCATGAAACACCCTTTGAGTTAATCGTCCAATTACTTTTGGTCCCTATAGAAAGAGTGTGGCACATGTTAACGACCTGAAACTCTTAAACTCTTCATCCAATTTGAATGTGGATACGCTCATATGAAAGCTGAGAGTCTACACATTATGTCCAGACTTCATTTTTCAATTTGTGAAATGTGCATTTGTCCTTCATAATTAATTAATTAAAATTCTGTACATTGGTCAAGATAAAGAGAAAAACTTAACGATTAAAATTGGAGGATTTAAAAAAAATATTTTATATCTTTTGTAAACCCTGATGTTCATAAAAAATACACACCTTCATGTTTTTAATTTGATTTAAAAGCTTGGTATTTAAAAGTGGCCCAATGATTATTTAACCTGTACTGATGTTGACAGATGTTCTTTAAAGGCTTGAAGCTTTTGTCCTTCCACAGCTCCAAACCAAAAATGATAATATTAACCAATAATAACTTATTTTTATGGCACTTTTCCAAACACAGAGTTGAAAAGCACTTCGCAGTTCAAATAAAGACACACATAATTCATTACACGCACGCACACACACACATGCATGGTTTCAAACTATGGCTAAAAATGACTTTTTCAGCAAATAGCAAATAACAAATAAAGCCTACCTGATTGACCGAGGAAGGCTGTTCCACAGTTTGGACGTAACAACCTCCAAAATCACAGAAGGTTAGGAGCTCTGCAGTGTGAGCAGGGCCTGTCCATGCAGAGCCTCACATGTTAAGAACAGAATTCTAATCTAATCTTCTAATCTCACTGGAAGTCAGTGACGGGATGCAAGGATTGGACTAAAATTTAAGAGGTTAACTGACAGTAAAGGTTTGATTTTTTCAATATTTCTCGGATGAAGGAAAAAAGACTGGGTAACCTTTGATGCGAGTTTCAGGTGCTGATCAAAAATGATACCAAAGTCTTTTGATTTGATGTTATTGGCGAGGGGGCTGATGTACTGACTGACTTCCTTAGAGAATCTGGGCTAAATGTTTGTGGTGTAACCTGAATTATTAAATTACTGCAGAAAAAAACTCATCTGCTGAAAATTTGCTGATCAGTACGAGTGGAATTTTTTTTGTGTGTCGTTTTCATTTTTTTTCTTCTTATTTTGTAAACTTGTCGGTTTTATGTTTTTCATTAATAACAACAACAACAACAATGATAATAACAATCATAAACATAATCATAATAGCAATAATATATTTCACTCCATGTCCTGGTGTCCTGCATTTGGGTCCTCTTAAAAACTCTCATCATGATTGACTGTGCAGGCCGGCACAGCTGTGCCAGATGTTTTATGTTTAACACATGAACCATGTTTTCACCAAGGAGGACCAGCTCATCAAATTCAACCCTCTGAAAAACTGCAGCAAAGTCATAATCGTTAGATTTTCCATAAAATCGCTTTGCGATGAGTGAAAAGCTGCCGGGCGGCGTTTCTCAGTGACATGCTGCTACTTCAGTTCACCTGATATTTAAACAGGATAATAAACAGATGCTCTGCACGCTCTGCAGAAGAGATAAAACAAACCAGCACCAGTATGACGTCCACAATCACACCTACATGACCATTAATCTGTGATTAAATGACTGTAGCACCTCCCACGCAACAATTAAATGAGTCTTTCATTAGTCTGAAATTGACTCAAACAAACAGTGATGCCTCTCCTTGTTCTGGTGACCAAATGTATCTGTTATGGTAAAAACACAGCAACGTGAATCTACGGTGAGAGAAGATCGAAGAAATCAGCAGAAACCGCAGACGCTGCAGTAACACAGGTTAACCACAAGGGTACCGCAGTCCTGAGGACTTTCAGCTTCTGGAGGAAACTTCAGGTTTAACTTCGTGTTTCTCTGTTATGAAAGTGGTTTCATCTCCATAGTAACACTGCTGACCTAACCATAGAGATCAACGCACATGAAACTGCTGCCTACTGAAAATACTGTCCCCATTCTGTTCAGAAGACGTCGTGGAGCCTCAGTGCGTCAGTAGCACGAGGTCAGATTAGTAAAGACTGATCAAAGTGCTCGTCTTCCTCTAATGATCGACCAGGAAACACGGATCATATTAAAAAAAACTGCATTCTTCCTGCTTTTTTCTCGTTTCTTGTGCACTTTCAAAACGTGTTATTGTTCTACACCTGAACAGGGTGGTGCCATACGCCACTGTTAGAGTATGAATATTATTATTACTGATGTCTGCATGTTTGGTGGAGTATAGAGAAGGTCAGAAAGAGCTTCACTCTGTGTCTTTGTGGATCTACAGAAAGCATAAACCTGCACTGATGTTTGGAGCTAATAGAGGAAGAGTAG